ATATACATCATTAGTTATAATTCTATCATCATATAGACAATCTACAGTAATATATACATCATTAGTTATAATTCTATCATCATATAGACAATCTACAAATAATGTGTACATCATAGAAACAATCTACATATTATAGAACATAATACATCATATAGAACACAATACATCACATAGAACACAATACATCATGTAAACAATCTACATATTATAGAACACAATACATCATATAAACAATATACATATTATAGAACACAATACATCATATAGAACACAATACATCACACAGAACACAATACATCATATAGAACACAATACATCACACAGAACACAATACATCATATAGAACACAATACATCGTGTAAACAATCTACATATTATAGAAAACAATATACATATTATAGAACACAATACATATTATAGAACACAATACATATTATAGAACAAAATACATCATATAGAACACAATACATCACATAGAACACAATACATCATATAGAACACAATACATCATATAAACAATATACATATTATAGAACACAATACATCATGTAAACAATCTACATATTATAGAACACAATACATCACATGGAACACAATACGTCATGTAAACAATCTACATATTATAGAACACAATACGTCATGTAAACAATATATATATTATAGAATAATATACATATTATAGAACACAATACATCACATAGAACACAATACATCATATAGAACACAATACATCATATAAACAATATACATATTATAGAACACAATACATCATGTAAACAATCTACATATTATAGAACACAATACATCATATAGAACACAATACATCACATAGAACACAATACATCATGTAAACAATCTACATATTATAGAACACAATACATCACATGGAACACAATACGTCATGTAAACAATCTACATATTATAGAACACAATACATCACATAGAACACAATACATTACATAGAACACAATACACAATACAATATACATATTATAGAACAAAACATTACATACATCAGTTAAACAATCAACATATAAAACATAATAAAAAGACACAA